CACACAGCAAATCCACTTCAGTGGGAGACCCTGAGTGCTCTTCCCTGAGACCTGGTCCTGGGCATGGAAGGACCCTCAGCCTTTCTCTTCCACAAAGGGCTGGAACCTAGCCAGGGGCTTAGCCAGTAAGAATGTTGGAGAATGTCATCCAAGTCAGGAAGGATGAAATCACCCTTGGCTGTTGGTGAATGATGTGAACATGCAGAGTCGGAACATGAGAGAATAAACCAACAAGATAAAGATCAAGGATGTCAGTGGGAAGGCAGGGCCTGCAGAAGGTTCTGCACAGCACAGGAGACAAGTAAGTGCAGGGAGAGAGCCTAGAGATGGGGGGAGCCCTCTGCCCCACTTCTCAGACAGGGAGTAGTCCCCAGAACATATAAAGAGCTCCAAAACCTTCACCTCCCCAAACAAATGATCCACTTATTAGATGACAAAGAACTAACCAGACACTTCTCAATAGAAGAAAAAGAAATGAACAACCAATATGTGGATAAAAGCTCATATCTCTAACAATTAGGGGAATTCCAATGACAGTGACAATGAGGTTCCTTCTCACTTCACCAGAATGGCAGTTATCAAGAATACAAGTAATAACAGGTGCTGGAGGAAACCTGGGGAGAGGACCCTCACACCTTGTTGGTGAGACAGCAGAAGAGAACCACCCTGAGGACAGCAGATGGAGACCCCTCAGGACAACAGGGAGGAAGCCACCGTGGGACCCAGCTCTCCTGCTGCTTGGTGTTTACCCCAAAGACCCAAGTCAGCACAGTGCAGGGACATGGCCACTGCAGGGCTTATACAGTGCAATTCCCAAGACCAGGTTATGCAACCAGCCCAGGTGCCCTTCACTAGTGGATGGATAAAGGAAATGTGGGTCATGCAACAACACTGCAGCTCTGCTCAGCCAATAGGAGGAGTGAGATGATGGTGAGTGGACGGAGCTGGAGGACATTAGGGAAGAGGAATGAGAGACGCCCAGGGAGTCAGGTGAGTGTTGGCTGTCCTCTGTGGGAGCTGCCACAAATAAGGAAGGTAAAGGAAGGGGAACCCCAAGGACACAGAAGAGGTCAGTCGGGATCAGGAGGTGACTAAGGGAGAGGGAGGAGGGACAGGAGAAAGGAGGGGCCAGGAGTGAGCTGAGCAGATATTATTGGTCAATCTGTACACGTGGGAGTCCTGCACCTGTGGGAGTGAACCACTGTGAGTTTCACACACACACACACACACACACACACACACACACACACACACACACAGATTGTAAATTTAATGAAAATTAGAAACTCG